GCCACGCTACTAGTAACAAGTGCCTTACTAGTAGGAACAAGAAGCTAAGCGAGAACAAATGCGTTTGAACGGCGCTGGCACATTTAGCTCCGAGGTTTTCCGTGAGTTGAAACGAAGCAAGTCGCGAGATGAGTTCAAATCGAGAGAGTACATAGTGTTAGTATAGTGATAGTATAGGGAGTATATCAGTCATCAGAGTTGATCTGAGAGATGAGTATCAACATCGCTACTAGGGCCTTATTACTAAAGACAAGAAGCTACTAGTAACAAAGAGCATCGCAACTAGGAGCACGAAGCTACTAGGGGCGCTCCTGAAATCAGATGTGTCTGAGACTAGAGATTCGTCGCGGTATGAGAACCTTTGGCTCAAAGCCCGCGGACACAGCAGACACGGCGGACACGCCGATTCAGTTGACTTCTTTGACTTCTTGAGTTGCCTCGTCGAGAAGTCAAGATGTCTATTAGGTTAGAGGCCATCGCTACTAGGTTGACACCCATCGCTAGTGGGTGGGAGGCCATAAGGCCATCGCTATTAACGAGAAACACATGTCTGTGATTGGAGGGTGGAAGCTGGGCTTCGAGCCATCACGGAATGCGACCGCCATACACCCAAGCCTCAAGACTGGCTTTTTGGAGGCCATCGCTACAAGGAACAAGTGCATCGCTTCTAGTAACAAGTGCCTTACTAGTAATAACAAAAAGCTACTAGGGGCTCCTGGCATTGCTACTAGGAGCAAGGACGCTACTAGGGGCTATTGGCATTGCTACTAGGAGCAAGGACGCTACTAGGGGCTCCTGGCCGTACTACTAGGAACAAGAAGCTAATAGATTGGAGGCCATCGCTAGTAGGTTACCTTTGAATGTTCTTCTACTTGTGCAAATCTCGGCTTTAGACTGTCGGATAAGCCATGTGGGCTTGCACCTCATGTTTGAACACGCAAGAAGCCGGAAAAGAAGAAAGAAACAAAACAGACTTCAGCCTCCAACCTAGTAGCTTCTTGTTACTAGTAGTAGGGCCAGGGAGCCCCTAGCAGCGATGCCACGAGGCCCTAGTAGCTTCTTGTTACTAACAAAACAGACTTCGGCCCTCTTCTTTGTAATATAAAAGCCTTACTGAAAAGGCCCACTTGTATATCTTTCTTTGTGCACAAAAGGTGGTGACCGAGGTTGAGGCAGCCACGCCTATCGCAAAAAGTCCAAGCGTCCAAGTCGACTTGTTACTAGTAGCTTCTTGTTACTACTAGTAAGGCACTTGTTACTAGTAGCGATGCACTTGTCACTAGTAGCTCCAAGTCGAACATCACTTATGGAATGCTCGATGTGTCTCGCTTTGTGTTGCTTGAGAACATCACTTTCAAAGAAAAACAAATCATGATGGTCTCTTGAGGTTGGAGGCCGTCGCTTATTTGGTTGGAGGCCATCGCTAGTAGGTTGGATGCCATCTGTTCTAGGTTGTAGGAGATCGCTTTCAGGTTGGAGGCCATCGCTTCAAGGGCTTTTAGTTAAACAAAAAGCGAGTCGAGCACCGTTCACTTTCCATTTTGGACAAGACCCAGAACCCCACGGGCCTCACTCGTTGAGCCCAGCGCAAGTTCTATCAGATTTCAGAATGAAACCCGTTTAATGCGCTTACGCCGTCTTACGCCTCACTGCTTTTTCCTAAAGTGGTTGTCAGGTGTTGTTTGGTATCGACATAAATCGCTGCCAGGAGCTACTAGTAGCGTCCTTGCTACTAGTAGCTTCTTGTTACTACTAGTAAGGCACTTGTTACTAGAAGTGATGCACTTGTTACTAATAGCGATGCACTTGTTACTACTAGTAAACACTGTTAGGGGTCGGCATAAATCGATGCAACACTGTTGCTCGTCCACTCAGCCTCTGGTCACTGGCTGGCGTGGAGTTGGTGGAGCTCCTGCGATTCACCCAGACTGGCCCAAACATGACTGAAAAAAATGGTTAAGAGGAGTAATTCCAACCTAATAGCTTCTTGTTACTAGTAGTAAGGCCAGGCCTGTCGCAACCACCCGTGACACTTGCACGCGATTGGACCCGGCCACTCGAGTGTTCACCCTGAGCAAGTTCAAACTTCTCAGTCCAGTCAAAAGGTTCCATAGTAGCTTCTTGTTACTAGTAGTAAGAATGCTCCTAGTAGTAAGGCCAGGAGCCCCGAACGTAGCTTCTTGTTACTAATAGCTAAACGTTTTTGCAAAAATAGAGTTGCTCAAGATTCCAAGAAATGCTGTGAACAACTCCGGCTACACTGAGGCCCTGAACATCATAGGTCGAGCATAGCGTGCCTGAAGCCAAGGTTCCAAGGCGTTGGAAGGATAAAAGGTCGGTCCAAAGCATGATTCTAATTGATTCTTAATAAATTTGTTTTTCTTAATAGCTTCTTGTTACTACTAGTAAGGCACTTGTTACTAGAAGCGATGCATTTGTTTCTACTAGCTTCTTGTTACTATTAGTCAGAGAAACAAAGAAAAAAGTAAAGTTCCAAATAGAACTTAAAGGAATAGGAGGTTGGAGGCCATCGCTTCTAGGTTGGAGGTCATCGCTTCTAGGTTGGAGGAGGTTGAAATCTACAAAAACACATTGGTTGTTGCACTTCTACGCTTCCCGGAAAGCACTTTGAGTACGGAACCGAAATCTGAATAATTCCTTTGCTAGTAATTACAATTCTAATTAAATTCTTATTGTTACTAGTAGTAAGGCACTTGTTCCTAGTAGCTTCCTACCCCCCTCCCCCGCGCGCGCGCG